TAAATGCCTGATCAGACAGTCTCTCATCAGCTCTGGGGAGAGTTTTAGATCCTCTAGTAAACTGTCACCCAATCTCAGTCTCTTGTTCCAGTATTCCTTCTCAGTTTTCTTAAATGGACCCAACCCGGCTTATAGAATATTCGAGAGAGATAACTCCTCTTCACCAGCTCCACCAGTGTCCACAAATCAGCAGTCGCTCCCTCTTTTCCAGTCACAAAATGTTCTGCTCTTTCGTTAGACTGAATCTTGCAAAAACAATCTCAGTGAACTACAGCCATGCAAGGTTCAGCAATCTGGAGAGTCACTCCGCCCTCTTTCTGCAAATCACTGTAGAAGAATTATGTACTTCAAAGAGGGAGAAAACCAACAGGTGATGTGCATCAAAAAGCACATTTAGTCCTAAACAATTTAATCCAAAATGGGTAGATCTTATAAACTTATAGCTTCAGGTCCTTAGAATTCTGGAGTTTATAACTCTCTGTCCATCTTAATTAGCTCAATGGCTTGCTATCGCAGGCATTCCCTTATGACCTTTATCTCTCAGCAGCCAGCAAGAGCAAAGGGGGGGGGGAGCATTCTTTTGATAAGAACTGTCTTGTTGACAGCAAAAAACTTCCCAAGCAATAAAAAAAGGAGTCTAAAAACTTATATCATGCAAATAAACCTTATACTCCCCGGAGCTCAGCAACAAGCCCTCTGCAGCTGCCACCGCCCAACCAAGGTTTTAAAAATTATTTGATTTTAGTTATTAGTGGGAACCTGAAAGGGAGACTAAGGTAGTATAATGTATTACTTTGTTAGAATGTGTTTAACTTAGTATATGTTTTTATATGTGTGTTTTACTGATTTCGTACATGTACGTTTTGATATTGGTCTATGACCGTATTAAACGTCATCTAATCTGTATCATCTTTGTTTTGCTGCTTAAAGATTCTAATTATTGTTTTGTTGTAGCTCATTTTATATGTTAACCTCCTATATTGTGTTGCTTTTAGATCTTGTTAGCCACGTTAGATACTACTTCCTATAGAAAAGTGGTCTGATAATTATCTTGAACAAAGGAAATTGTGAATATGTTAATTTAATGCATCAGTGGTATTACACACTTCATATGACATTATAAGTGATAAGTATCATGTAGGAATTTATTCTAGTGTATTCCCTCTAGAACGCAGAGGCTTTTTGTGGACCTGATTGTGATCTATTTGTCTTGCAAATAGGAACTTTCCTCCTGTACATTAGAGCATTTTACTAGATGTCATGATCCTTTGCCACGAGTCATCCTGCCCAATTATATTCTACTCTCAAGTACACTCTACTTCAATGCCAGACTTGATTATGGTGTTTGCTTTGACCATGTTTGACCACTGTATCATTTGATTCTTGCTTGCTCCTGTCTATCCATACTCCTTTCTAAGTTCTTCCCACACATTCATTTTCTAGTAGCATCCTATATTACCATACCATGAGTTTGTGGTTATGTTCTAATCACAATATTTACACATTTCCTGTTGCAACGCTCTGTGAGTACCGCTTTTGAAACTGTAAGGTCCTTCACTATACTTATATTCACAATGTACAGATCTTATATCAGAGATTCCTAACCTTGGGCTCCCAGATGTTCTTGGACTGAAACAAAGATTTTTCCATTTTTGAGGATTGCCATCTCCATTTCTATCCTAAAATGTAATGAATGAATGGAAGAAAGAATATGTGTTTATATTTTCTGCCTATACCCTCATCCCCTCCAAACTAGCTAAATATATTGTGAAATGAAGAACACAAGTATCTTTTTTATGGTGTTTACACAATTTGCCTTCCAAACGAATACCTGCATTGCAGGTATGGACCAACTGCAGTCTTCCAGATGTTGTTGGATTCCTTCCAACCCTAACCATACTTAGTGCTGAAGGATGCTGGCAGTTGCAGACATAAAACATATTCTGTTGTACAGTACTTTGCCCACTTCTGCTGTGTTGTAATTAAATATAGCCTATGAATATGTGAATTCTGCGACTGTACAATAGGGCAGCCATATATTAGCATAATCACATACGCTAACTATATTTTTGTGTTTAGAGTACAAAATCCTCATTCATTTCAATCAGCTGGGTTTTATCACTAGCCACTGTTATATCTTTTGTAATATTAGAACATAAATTTAAGATACTGCAATAAGCCTGTGATTGTCATCATGGCTCTGGAGGCAGAGTGGAGACATATTCTGTAACAATACGTTGGTGCCATGTCTATGTAGTTCAGCCCCTGTTGTTTCTGAACTGCTTCTGTTGGTATTTGCCTGATGTCACACCTTTGGAAAGAGGTGCTACATTTTACTAAAATGCTGGAATATATTCCCTTGATTCTGAAGCAGTAAATGTATAAAAGCTAAAAAACATCTGAAGTGGAAAAAAGCAGATAAATTTACAGTTCAGTTCTAAACATGTCCATTCTATTGAATGACACTTGCTTCTGAATAGGTATGTACAGTCCTGTGCTAAAATTCATTTTTAAAGAAGTCTGAGATCATGGGAGTGCAGTATGTTGACTGGGATTCTATTGAAGTTATTTACACAACACTCTTCAGTTAAAGTAAGATCGTTGTTAATTTACAATAGAGATTGCAAACAATGCCTGCTTAGCTAGTTCATGAGTGAATCTGTTGAAGATGCAGCCATATTTATTGTTAAAAGCACTCCTTTTGGGAGACGGATTTATATGAAAAATGCATTTCTTTATTAAATTAATCACACTTAAATGGCAAAGACATTTGGAAACATGTATCGGTGTAATAATATCAGATTGAATGGATTTATAACACCCACTGGGAATTTCCCAATTAACTATAAATGTACAAATTATTTTGCTAAATTCTAACAGTTTTGTGGTTGGGAAGAGGGGTGAAGATGTAATAAAGATCCAGGAGAGATATGCGAAAGAGAGAATTTTATCATTGCAAAGGAAGGTATATTTTAGATGTTTCTTTTTCTTTTCTTTTTACCCACACATCAGCCTTAAGGAAATGCAGCACTGGTCATAGCAAGCTGTTCTATTCTTTCTTAATTTTCCCCCTTGGGGAATGCTGGCATTGAATACGAAGAAAGATACATTCCCATCTAGATTTTTTTTAAAGTAATCCTTTCTATTTTATTTTCCGCATTGTGCATATTTAATACAGTTTATACATCTTTTAGGAAAATGTGAGGCATTTGTTTTGAAATCTTCTCAAGCAATAAATCTAATGACACAATATATATACACACACACACATACAGACACATATGTATCAGAGATTTTGAAATACTGTGTATATTGTGTCTCATATATATATATATATATATATTTCCCCAGTTCCTTCCTACAGCTTCTGTGGCAGCTGCTGGTGATCTTCTTTACTCAGCAGAACAAGATAACATGTTATTAATCTCAAAAGCAAGACAAATTATCAGTTAGAGGTATTCCATGCAAATGTGTTTGCTTTTGGGGATGTTCATTTTAATTCAATGTTATAGTTCATTTGAATCTGGATCATTAAGACAGACAGTACGTGAGTGTCAGCATTGACCTCCATGATGTCAGAATGTCACTGTGCATACGTATCTAAGAAAATCCTCTGAGAGAAAACAACACCAACCTAACAGCATCAGAAAGAAAGAGAGGAAAGAAAAAAAGAAGGTTTACATCTTATCCTTAACATACAATGTGTATGTACAATGTATGTTTGTGGTTCTGTGACAGTAGTTGTGCTTTCATTCTGATTAGACCATCTCTATTTCATTTCCTTGCTTTGGCAGCATGTATGCCTCTATGTGACTTAAGTCATCTTAGCATTATTTAGGTCACTACATTTAGGAGCTGTCTTTATGGTATTTCACTACTGTGCATATAGAGCAATACAGAGGATTGTGACAACATTTTCAAATATGCACTTGTCTTATGAGCTCTTAAGGATGGAAAAGCATTTGGTAATGTAATCTGTATAGCAAAATAGCTTCCGTTTATGCCTTCCAGATATATTTAGCTCTAACCTTGCTTGTGGTTAAGCGCGGTGCAGCATAGATGCAGACAGCTGATTCTGCAGCCAGACTCTCTGTGCTTGTGATTTTGTCAATATGTCAGCTTTTTGATAATCCAATGCAGAATTAGAGTTTTTAGCCCTGGTGCGTTTGTCTTTTACATGTTTAGCAACGACAACAAATGCAACAACAGTAAATGCAAATTACATGGGTTCAGCAAATAAGAAAACACAATAGCGTCACATATCAACCTAATACGTACTATATGAAATTTTCTCTCATCAAGAAGGTATTTCTGCAGATATTCTTTTCATCTCTCCCTCCGCCAGGCAAAAGGATTCTTCTGCTTTTCTCAGTAGAAGGAGACAACCATCTGTGGACAGGTTTTTGCTACAGAATCAGAAATTCCGAAGACAGGGTCACTGAAGAACATGGAGCTTCTCTGTACAGTGCACAGTAACAGTTCATCTTGCATCATCGGTTGATGACTTTTTTTTCCTTTGTTCCCTCCCATCCCAGTTGCTCTTAGATTCAGCAGCTGATTTGCAATGCTACTTTAACAACATTAATCAGACACTGCATTTAAGGTGAGCTGCTCCTTACTGTTCCTCTTACCAAATCTTGTCTGCTGTGGTGTGTGTATCATCCTCCTGCAAGCCTAAAATGGCAGGCAGCAGGGGGAACATTGCATGTGCTGTGTGCATGCTGTGGATACAGAATTCATTACACCATGCCTAGTGCTTCTGATGGGAGTATGCAAATGGAGTGTGTGCCATCTCATGCTGTAAGGAAGACTTAGACTTCCTGATGGGCAAAGCTTTTTAAGCAGCAACCTTAAGAATTCAATTTTATTTTCAGTACAGTGGGTTCTGTGATTGCTGCCGCATTCTACAACCAGTATTAGCTATGCATAGGTATATTTAATTCTTTTTAACATTTTAATTTTAATTTTAAAAAAATAAGTGAACTCTGCTTCCAGGTGGCGTCCCTCTTCTTTCTCTTGCTTTTATTACTATTTAAATAATGTATGTTGTGTTGCTAATTAATGGCAAGATCAAATTAAACCCTTTGAAACTGACATATTTATTATGCAGCACATCCAATCTATTTTTAACTCTTACGCAGTATATCCATGTTGTGCAATGGGCTTTGGTTGCTGGCTTTTTCTTTTAAAGCCATAGTAGCACAAGGATGGTTTTCAGCAAATGTGACAAGCTGACCTTCACAGTGGTCAGCTTCTAGCCTTCAGTTCTCAAAAGGGGAAAGACAATCCTTGTGATGCAGCTTTAAAAAAAACAACAACACAACACCTTGGATGAAGACATGTCCTCAACCCCTCCCTCCCCACACTTCTTTCCTACCCATTGATAAGTTCTGCTATCTTGATCATAGTCCATTCAACCAAGCTGTTTTTGGAAAGGAGTTATGGTGGGGTTTTTTGCTATATTTTGAAATAACCAAGATTCCAGTGTCTCTCCATTGTTTTAAATACCAATGACTGGGTGCAATGGCATGCTAAGACTTCGTTAAGACATATATGCAGGTAGGTGGAGATATATGCATGTTTTTGTTTCCGATTCTTGTTCTATGGTGCAAAGAGATGAAATACAGATTGGAAATATGGCTGAGACCTATAAAACAAGTTTATGGCTGTTTTATTTAAATGACTCAATTCTAAACTATAATTTTGCTGTAACTTTACATCTTGCTTTGATTGTGGGTTCTGCCTGTCTAAAAGCATAACTTTATTCTGCAACTGAACATCCCATGTATGTTTAATAATCAGGGCGTGGCACCGCTTATGCAACAAATAATTTTTTAAAAAAGCTCATTATGCTGGATGATTTTGATACCAAACATGGAAATGTATAACAGACAGTTCACTAAGATATAAAACTTTAACTTTTGGGTGTATCTCTGAAAAAAATTAAAATATTAAAATTCTGCTGTTGGAAAAGGCCTTTCACTGTTTGGTATGAAAACGTAGGTAATCTTCTTTGTCCTTTTATAAAGATGGCTGAGAAGAACTAAGGATAAATTTATTTTTGGTGTGTGTGTATACTGTATATGTGTGTTTGTTTAAGATATCAGCTGTTTTAAGGTGAGAAATACCAAAAGACATCCTGTTAACTTGAAATTAATATTACTGTAATTAACAATTGGCTTATTATCTAACACATTGTAACAATCTTAGTGTTATTAATATGAACATAGAATATATTAGAACATACAGTTTTTCCATGCCAACACTGGGCCAAAAGCTGTTTCCTTGGTAACCAAATCCTGTTAAAGGATGCAGTGGCAGTAGTAATTATTGTTTAATTCCATAATGCAAATTATCTCATATTACATTTTGTAGTGTCTATAATTTCTTCTATGTTGTGAGCTTTTAGCATTGCATGTAGCTCAAACCTCTTCCTCTTGCCTCAAATTGATTCCTTCAGGTAAATCATTATGTATTTGTTGAAAACACAACCCTATAGCAAGTATTCCCTTCCTAGTGACGCAACATTTAGTACCTACATGCTTATTTAAATCAATTATTTGAACGTGTTACTGTATCAATATAGCTAAAAGTATAGACTGGTGAAAGGTGTAAATATTATTAGATATTATTTCCCCAATCCATCATTTAATTTAGCAGTAATTCAAGATTTTTCAGTAGACAAAACCAGACTAAACCTACCAGTGCAATCCATCGAAACATCTTATAAAAGGACATAGGATGGTGTTTCATTTGAGATTATCCAGTTTGCGGTTTATTGTAGCATTAATGCAAGTTTGAACGTATAACCTTTAGCTAAAAGCAGTTGACCTGACATTCCTAATACCATCTGTAAAAATCAAACCTTGGTAAAAGGTATTACTTAAATATTGCTTCATAATTCATATAGTGTCTTAAAACATACTGTTTTTTCCCTCTCTGACAAATGCATATCTCACGACAAACATATTTTTCTGCAGGGTAGCCATTTTCTTTTCATGTCCTCGTCTTCAAAATGAGTAAAGGTGATGTATGTATGAATGTATGAATCAGCAGTAGATCTATAGAGTGAATGGAAATACAAAAAGCATAATTCCATTGTTCATGTATATTAGTTCAAATGGCAATGCACTTTTGCAGGTGTAATGCTGATTTGCTCTTTTCCCTCCTGAAGATTACCTATTCAGTAAAGTCCCAATAAATAATTTATAGAATAGATATATTTCATAAGAAATCATTATATTTGGTAAATTTTCTATAAGGAAAGGTTTTCCTATTCTGATTTCCATAAGTTCCTTTAAATGCTATTTTTCAATACAGGTTCCTGATAACATTAAGTTGAGTAAATCTGAGGACAAATTTAGCTGAGTAAATTTGCTGACTTATTTTTGGAAATGTATTTAAACATCCATTTCTGGGTGCTCTCATTAAAATGAATTTTATGCATGGAGGGTTTTAAAGAGAATTTATTGCAACATGTTTAAATCCTTTTATTAAGCTTTCTGCAGGACAGAACGCAAATGACGATTTACAAAATATTGCCTGCCTTATGTTTCTAGGGGGCAGTTTTGATCCCTTTCTGGCTCATAAAAGGAACATTTCTTCTTCTCTCTTTCTCTCTCATATCAATGAATTTGTATCCTGTCGGGGGACAAAAGTACATACAATGTTGTTAGAATTCTTTGTATTTGTATTTTAACTATGAATATTAATATGCTCCCAGATTTGAATGTTTTATATGATTGATAATTGGGTTTGCACAACCCAGTGACAGGGGGAAAATGTTGGTTTTGGCTGTAATGTTTTAGAATAGTATCAACAAGCACTTTAGAAAATACTCAGTCAACTGCCATCTGCCCATCCTTTCATACATCTACTGTTTCTTCCTCAGCCATTTTTTTGCATGTGAGAATAGATAATGACAATGGAAATACATTGGTTTTCTACATGGCCATTGGAATTAATTAAAAGGGGATTGGTTTCTTACACAGTCATGAAAAATAACAATGCACAGATTGCCCAACTGGCTATGATAATGAATTTGGAAGACCTGAGTGCTGCTAAAAGGCCCACATATTTTGGTGCCTGATTTCAATAAATTGCCTAGTGCATTTTCATGTCTGTTTAGAAAGATGCTTCCTGCAGAGGGATTGGTCTGTATACCCATCAATCCCAATATATTTCAGTAACCTTCAGAAGGGCAAATTTTAAAGTCTTTTATCTAATGATTGCAAGCAGTGTGCAAGATCAAATCATTATTAATAAGATTGATATATTGTTTTTATGTGTCAGATCTTTCATTTAAGTCTCAGGCCGGCAAATTTTAAAGTCTTTTATCTAATGATGGCAAGCAGTGTGCAAGATCATTAATAAGAACGATATATTGTTTTTATGTGTAAGATCTTTCATTTAAGTCTCAGGCACAAACTCATGCAAGGCACCATTCTCTGAACCTCTGTCCTGCTCCACTTCCAGTTCGCAAGGACAGACATCTTTTTGCAAGTACATTATCTTTGCCTGCATTGCCAACTGGGTCACAAATAAGTTCCTTTGAACACTCAAGAGAATAAACAGGCATGTGGTAGTGATCATCATGTGAATGACTGTCAGGTTTCTTAGCGGAAAAATTACAATTTAGCAGAGTATTTGGCGGTTCAGGCAGTCCAGGAATAACTCACACGCAGTCCAGCAGCATTTCTTTCAGCAAAGTGTATTTACATCAATATATACAGCAGTCTGGCAGCATAACTGGTAGATGTGATCTTCAAGCAGGTGAAGATATAACTAACTGTACAGCCATACATATATACATACACAGGACCAATCAGGTTACACATTACCTCATCACATTACCCCATCCCATTACTTCATCTCTGGGTTGCATCAGCCCTGGGTTACATCATTTCTGCTGAGTCATCCTGACTCAGTTTCAGCACACCTGATTGTTATGGTTTCTACATTCTGTTCAGGCCTGCAATTTACCTTGACAATGATGTTTCATACAGATGACTTATTAATTCTGTTCTGCTACATCACTGTATTTTAATGACCTTTTGAGTTGGGCAGTACATTTGTGTTTGACCATTTTGAAAAGGTCCCAGATAACACCATGTAAACATCCAAAGCTCCTTACTGTAATGCATTTGAAACAATATCTTGGGTGCAATCCTTAATGCATTTACAAGTGGTAAGCCCCATTGAACACAGAGGGCCTTATTTAAGTAAACATGCATAGTAATGCACTGTCCGTTACTTTCTTTTTGGCACTTGGCATGGGGAGCTGATTAGCAAACGTATGGCAAAGCAAATGTTACCTGAAAGACACAAAAACATGGAAGAAACCCTACCCATATATATACAAGAAGATGAGAAAAAAGGGAAAATACTTTAGCTTTAAAGGGAAACTATTTCAGCTTCACCTGATTGCTAGGCAACATCTTCAGGGTTTCTGCCTAGCCCAAGGCAGTTAATTAGTTCTCCTAAGTGACCTTGTAATTGTACCTACCAACTGCTTTGAAAGCCAGAGGAAAAATTAACCGTTAGGGTTTTTTACTTTTGTTTTGTTGAGTAGCCTACCATTGCTACTCCAGAATCTAAGTATACTGGGCAGGTGTCAAATCTATCATATGTTAAACCCTTGATTTGGTTTATGGTTGGTTGCTTGGTTTTTAAATGACTATGATCTGTGTCAGAGCAGGATGCAATTTTGTACTTTTTAGCACCTATCGGTCATTTCTCATTTCAGAATAATGACAGAGAAATTAAGGGCAGAGTAGATAATTATAAACTTTTGAGGTGGGGATTCCACAAGACTATAGTACTGTACTGTCTTGATTCCTTATCTAGAAAATACTGTTACTAATACAGTTCTCTGTCCCTAAAATTGTATATTTCCTTGTTTTTGTTGTTAAGAGTTGTTGGAAGTCTTAATAGCTGAGTTGCAGACTCCTCCCTTCAGAGACTGTAATGAGCCAGAGGTCTCCTGCTATGTAGGTCTAAATTAACGGTGTAAGGGATTAGTGAAGGTGTAAGCATACAGATACTCTTGAAGGACTAACAAGAGCTAATGTTCCTTCACAGCAAAAGGAGCTATTAGTTTTAACTTCAACTTGTAGAACATTGTGAAGGACCTTTTGAAATCAGTTAATTACTGTACTTCTGTTAGCGTTTGCAGTGCCTAGTTGTAGATCTGGGAGTTCAAATTACCACTATTCCTCCTGGAAAAAGGACCAGCTGAGATCACCTAGAGCATGTGAGGCTGCTGGATTAATGGCCGGGCCACCTGGATGGCCTTGGGCAAGCTAGACAATCCCAGAGAACTACCAGATGGAGTGATTGATGAATACTTTCTTTATACCTAGAAAGCTGTGGGAGAATCTCCATAAATTAAAATCAACCTGATGGCAAAAAATGATTACAACTGAAAACCATCTAATAGTTTGCTCAAAAACATGAGCAATGAACAGTTTTGAAAAATAGTTAAATCTGAAAAGACCTAGTCTTCTATTTACATGCCTAGATTATAATGATAGCATCCTGAAATTGGCTATCATGGCTGT